AAATGAAATCCGAACAAATAAAAAAACAACCATTCAACTTGATTCAACCTAAGAACAAAATACAAATCATTCTCGTCCAAACACTAAAAACCAGCAACACAAAAGTCATTACCAAAGTGATATCATTCCATAACACAACCAAATGAAAATAAAGAAAGAAATTCAAAGCAATCAAATGAAAAGAAAGAAGAGTGGTGAGTCTCAAAGTCCAAAACGCGTTGTTTCTCCGTGTCCATGTCTCATTGACATCTTTGATTGCCTGTTACAACAGAAACAAATCAAGTCAAAAACACGGCACAATATAGAAACCCAATAACTTAAGTTGTTATTAATCATGTTACCTTTGAACTTTGAGGACCATATCCACTTCTAGTTCTAGTTGGGTCTAGGATACACTGAAAAAGATATATAAAATCAGAATGTTAGGATATAAACATCAATCATGAAATGGAAAACCGTAAAATGAACTTACTTTTCTGGAGTTCATCCTGCAATGTAACATCAGCAAGCATCTCCGTGTTTGAAACAAATGTTTTCTCGCCTAACTTAATCTCAGCCTTCATCCACTGCTCAGTACACATCAAGACCTCAACCATGTAATGAGTTAAACAACTTCGATACGGATCAATGATTCGGCCACTAGTGCTAAAAGCACTTTCAGATGCAACAGAGGACACTTGCATAGCAAGAACATCTCGAGCCATTTCTGATAAAATTGGGAACTTCCCTGCATTTACCTTCCACCAAGATAAGACATCGTACTCTGTTCCAAGCAAAGTATTAGGATTTTCAACTTTGTCACTCAGATAAATATCCAACTCAGACCGTTCATCTTCAACGCCTAAACCACTGATCATATCCTTATAAACTTGATCCATCCTTTCATACCCCTGTTCATCATTCACAAAATCCATGTTCTCAGAGCATGAACCATGGCCACCGGAAGTTGATGCTTGATCCGTCTGTGATGGTGTGACAATGGCCTCCTTCTTAGACCGAGTGCTATACTCAGCAAACAGAGATTTCATAACTTCAGTGACTGAAGTATACATCCATTTAGCTTGTGCAGTATCTTTGCCGTAAAGTCTTTCAAAGCATATCTTAGCAAACTGCATTTTCTTGCTCGGATCAAGGACACTAGCAACAATCAGAAGCCTATTGATGTTCTTCACTCCATCCCAATATTTGTCAAACTTTCCTCTCATGTCGTCAGCCTTTTCACTCAACTCTCTGTCTAAACTATTGCTCAAGTTCATCAGATTCTTCTCTATAGTAACTATCTCAGTATAGCACTTGTAGGAGCTAACCGAATTAGACGCTGAGACGATCAACGTAGAATTGTAGAAGATGATCAGAAACCTTACTAACCTCTCCACTGCATTCCAATCAACTTCAGTAGGCGGACCAATCCTTTTTTGACCATTCTCTTGTTCGAGAAAGTAATCATTGTATAGCCGATCTTCAGCTTCCATTTTATCAAATGCCTTCCTGAACTTAATAGCTTGTAGCAGCATCAAGTATGTTGAGTTCCACCTAGTTTTTATATCCAAAGGCAAACTCCCTCTAGTCACCTTGGCATTATCAGCACGGCTATCAAAAGTGTCGATCCTATTAGTAGACGCCCTCACATACGTCACGGCATTCCTAATGGCACACACATTATCAACTAACTCTAGCAATCCTTCCTTGACAATTAAGTTGATAATATGTGCACAACACCTCATATGCATAAACTCTCCATCTAAAACCAATGCCTCATCGCTCACTAAGCTGAATTGGGTCTGAAACCTCTTTAGGGCAGATGTATTGGCGGTGGCGTTGTCCACCGTGATGGTGAATATCTTCTGTATTCCCCATTCAGCCAAACACTCCATAAGGACTCTTGTTATAGTGGTCCCTTTATGATCCGTGATGTACTTGAACCCGATGATTAGCTTCCTCATTTCCCAATTTGCATCAATGAAATGTGCTGTAATCACCATATAGCTAGCACCTGTTGCTTGAGCCACCCATATGTCAGTAGTAAGTGACACTCGCTGCTTGTTAGCTGCAATCCAAACTTTAAGACCCGCTCTCCTCTCCTCATACATCTTCACAATGTTTCTGGTAGCAGTTCTTCTTGAATGCGGTGTGTAGAGATTAACTCGACTACAGAAGTGTCTCCAAGCCATGCTTTCAATGAAGGCAAGTGGCAATTCTCCTAACACTAGCAACTCATCAGTCGCCACTTTGAAGATATCCTCTGAAACCTTTGCTTCCACCAATCGTCCATCCTTAGTAACAGCTCTCGTATCTGCAGACTTACTTGCTTCAAATGCCAACAACTTCTTGCAGGTTAACATATGCTTCCCCAAGTTAGAAGTCCCTTTGGATGATGCACAACCGTAAACTCTTTTACAATGACGACAAATGCATTTGTCCTTGTCCTCCTCAAGTGGATCAAAATGTTTCCACACTTTAGACCTTTTACCCGCTGTTTTCTTTTCATTGGGTTGACCAGAAGTATCTCCATTTGTCTCCTTCCTTTTCCCTTGATTAGGTGTGGACTGTGTGGTAAAGGTTTCTGCTGTATCTTGAGTTTCACCATCGGGAAATGATGAAGAATCCATCTACAATAAAACAAAATCAGTTAGCATAAATAATAATTCAGATAGATAATACTCAATATCGAACTGATAAATAACAGAAACATGAAGACAATTAGAAAAAAAAACTAAGAAACATAAGCTAATAACCAGAAAAACAAACACAGTTACAGAGAGATAAGACACAATAACGCTAAAAAAAAAAAAACTTAAGAACAAGACAAGACAAAAACAGAAACAAACCGATCAAGAAATAAACATTGTTCAAAAATGTTGATTATTTTAATAACTAGTTACTTGTTCGTGTCTTAAGAACTAAGAACCAAAACCTTAAACTAAGAAGTATTAAATTCACATATTCACTCGAACAAGACAAGACATCAACGTCACATATTAACTCAAACAGATACATCACTTTGAATCTCATCTCATAATTAAGCAAGAAAATAAATCACAAGGGTTAACAAGATTAGTAAGTACAGAGACAGAACGAGAAGAAGATCTAAACTAACTAAGCATAAGAAGACTTGGAATTAAACTAAAAATTATAAGCTAAGCTGAGAAATAAATCCAATAACATCGAGTATCGACAATGCAAACTGAATTGAATCAAAGAAACAAAAGCTAAGTAACTGAACATAAAAACCAGAAACATGACAATACATTTTTCAAAAACAAATTATGAACTCAGGATTCGGAAAGCAAATCAAAGCAGACTTAATCAAAAGAATTAAGAGAAAAGAATTTGAGATCACCTTTGAATGATTTCTTGACGTCTCTGATGGAGGAGACGGATGAGAAAATCGAATGAGGGTTTCCAGATTTTCAGTTTGGGATTTGATATTGAAGATCATGTAAACGAAAATAGCGGGGAATGGAGATAGTGGAATCGAATCGACTAATGCAGGTAAGGGTCAGTTTAGATTGTGCGGATATTTCGGGTACGTTTACGGGTCTCGGGTATTATCGGGTATTACCCGGTACCCGAATGGAGAGAAGAAAAGGATCCAAATGGGTATTTTTCAAAATCGGATCGGATCCGGATCGGATATTTTCGGGTAAATATCGGGTCGGATTTTCGGATCCGGATAAAATGCCCACCCCTTTTACCTGATCAAATTATTTTTATATGCAGAGGATGTGAAGGAGTTACATGGTAAAATACTTGACTCTGTCAATGTCAAGAGATCGATGCCTCCAAACGCTTGGTTGTGGTCATTGATTGAGAACTGTAGGAATGAGGATGACATTAGTTTTCTGTTTCACGTTTTACAGAATCTCCGGAGATTTGTGATTACTTTATTTCTTTCGTTTTGTGTTCCTTGTTCTTGTTAGATAATCCTCACTTAAATATAACACTATATTTGGGGGAAATTATAGTGTTCCCTTATTTTGATGGGAAATATAAGGGTGGGTTGGAGATGAGTTTTACACTAAAATAGTGTTTAAAGGGAAATATAAGGATGGGTTAGAGATGCTCTAAGCAAATAGACTAATATAATGATGCATTTTGATATACTTTTTTTTTTGTTTTTTTTTAGAACAGATTTCACGATAAAAAGGGACTACTTGTTCATTCATCAATCAAAAACTATTCGTTCATTCATAAACCATTTTTCCATTACTCAATCAAAAATCAGTCTTCTTCAAATAACGCTTTCCTCAGTAATGACACTATTCCATAGAAGGAATCATTTACTCCAATCTTGCCACTGGCAAATAATGATGCATTTTGATATACGTTCACACGGATATAAGAATAAAGTTTTCATAGACATTAAAAATGCAAACTATAGTTTTTTAAACATGTTTGTCTTCACAAAAACCCAACAATAATCCTTTTGTCGACAAAAGCCAGTTCTTATACTAATCAAGAGCTGATAAAGTCAAAATATAAATTTATAAGGTAACTAATTAGGAAGATTCACAAAACCACAAAAGAAAACTTTTTAACAAAAAAAAACCACAAAAGAAAACTTTATTTACAGGTTTTATCTTAGCCAAAAAAAACGAGATTCCTCATTCAAGTTATTATTATTGACTTGAAGAAAGCTTTACGAAAATATTTATAATGTCCAATGTTTGATATCATAGCACAGATTTACTAATTACACTAGTTAATTCCTTTTATAGAGAGTTTTGCCAAAACTTGGAAACCACCTTCAAAAACAAACCGATTCAAAACTCGGATTACTAAACCGGAAAAAGAAAAGAGAGGACCGGTGTCTATTAGCGAGAAACAACGGGGTCATTTGTCTAATGACCAACAAGTATGGGGTGTTTAATGAAAATACTATTTTTTAGAGGTTTAAAAACGTAAAACCTTAAATCTTTACTGTTCTTCTGCACTGAACCTTACGAGTTGACTCAGTTCGATAACCCGGCATAAACTCAGAGGCTACGGATTCCAAAATCATGCAATATCTATCCAAAACTCGTAGAATCGCTCGGGCTTTGAAACCATTTCCTCTCTTAGAGGCTGATGTGAGATTTGTTTCCCATGCTTCTCATGCTCTCGACTCTACCTCATCGCCCAACAATCGATCTCCTCCCGCTTCTGTATTTCCAGGTACCATCTCTTCATTTCACACATTACCTTAGCTTTAATGGTTCCAAAGTAATTGTCTTTAGTCGCATGTTTCTTAATCTCAAAAGAGGACAAAATGGAGACGATTTCTCGCAATTTCTTAACGCATTTGAGTGAGCTTAGAATTTGCGTCGATTTAGAACTATCGTTGCTGGTTAAACGACGGAAAGTTTCAATTTTTCAGACATTGGCAACATTTGTAGAAGAAGAAACTGCACATTTTATTCAGATGAAAATCTTTTTGCAGGGATGGTTACTTGTAGTCAATTGTACAATCAATCAGCTACGGTGGGGTCAATGATGTTGAGATCAAACTTTTCCTCTGAAGCAAAGCATGTTGAAAATCCTACAGGTTTGCTAAATTTCTCTGTGATGCTTTCCTTTGGAAATGGCTCTTGACTCTTGAGCTCATGAGAGTGTTACCTAGGGGTGGGCATTCGGATTATCGGGTCGGGTTCGGATCGGGTATTTCGGGTTTCGGGTATTTCGGTCCTAAGAGAAAAGGATCCGTTCGGATAATTATAAAATTCGGGTCGGGTTCGGTTCGGTTCTCTTCGGATTCGGGTATTACCGGATATACTTTTCGGATCTAAAAATACTTTCGGTTTGGAGTAAGTTCCTTTGTTTTAAACAAAAATTGACCTGATAACCTGTTACTTCAAATGAAATCCGAACAAATAAAAAAACAACCATTCAACTTGATTCAACCTAAGAACAAAATACAAATCATTCTCGTCCAAACACTAAAAACCAGCAACACAAAAGTCATTACCAAAGTGATATCATTCCATAACACAACCAAATGAAAATAAAGAAAGAAATTCAAAGCAATCAAATGAAAAGAAAGAAGAGTGGTGAGTCTCAAAGTCCAAAACGCGTTGTTTCTCCGTGTCCATGTCTCATTGACATCTTTGATTGCCTGTTACAACAGAAACAAATCAAGTCAAAAACACGGCACAATATAGAAACCCAATAACTTAAGTTGTTATTAATCATGTTACCTTTGAACTTTGAGGACCATATCCACTTCTAGTTCTAGTTGGGTCTAGGATACACTGAAAAAGATATATAAAATCAGAATGTTAGGATATAAACATCAATCATGAAATGGAAAACCGTAAAATGAACTTACTTTTCTGGAGTTCATCCTGCAATGTAACATCAGCAAGCATCTCCGTGTTTGAAACAAATGTTTTCTCGCCTAACTTAATCTCAGCCTTCATCCACTGCTCAGTACACATCAAGACCTCAACCATGTAATGAGTTAAACAACTTCGATACGGATCAATGATTCGGCCACTAGTGCTAAAAGCACTTTCAGATGCAACAGAGGACACTTGCATAGCAAGAACATCTCGAGCCATTTCTGATAAAATTGGGAACTTCCCTGCATTTACCTTCCACCAAGATAAGACATCGTACTCTGTTCCAAGCAAAGTATTAGGATTTTCAACTTTGTCACTCAGATAAATATCCAACTCAGACCGTTCATCTTCAACGCCTAAACCACTGATCATATCCTTATAAACTTGATCCATCCTTTCATACCCCTGTTCATCATTCACAAAATCCATGTTCTCAGAGCATGAACCATGGCCACCGGAAGTTGATGCTTGATCCGTCTGTGATGGTGTGACAATGGCCTCCTTCTTAGACCGAGTGCTATACTCAGCAAACAGAGATTTCATAACTTCAGTGACTGAAGTATACATCCATTTAGCTTGTGCAGTATCTTTGCCGTAAAGTCTTTCAAAGCATATCTTAGCAAACTGCATTTTCTTGCTCGGATCAAGGACACTAGCAACAATCAGAAGCCTATTGATGTTCTTCACTCCATCCCAATATTTGTCAAACTTTCCTCTCATGTCGTCAGCCTTTTCACTCAACTCTCTGTCTAAACTATTGCTCAAGTTCATCAGATTCTTCTCTATAGTAACTATCTCAGTATAGCACTTGTAGGAGCTAACCGAATTAGACGCTGAGACGATCAACGTAGAATTGTAGAAGATGATCAGAAACCTTACTAACCTCTCCACTGCATTCCAATCAACTTCAGTAGGCGGACCAATCCTTTTTTGACCATTCTCTTGTTCGAGAAAGTAATCATTGTATAGCCGATCTTCAGCTTCCATTTTATCAAATGCCTTCCTGAACTTAATAGCTTGTAGCAGCATCAAGTATGTTGAGTTCCACCTAGTTTTTATATCCAAAGGCAAACTCCCTCTAGTCACCTTGGCATTATCAGCACGGCTATCAAAAGTGTCGATCCTATTAGTAGACGCCCTCACATACGTCACGGCATTCCTAATGGCACACACATTATCAACTAACTCTAGCAATCCTTCCTTGACAATTAAGTTGATAATATGTGCACAACACCTCATATGCATAAACTCTCCATCTAAAACCAATGCCTCATCGCTCACTAAGCTGAATTGGGTCTGAAACCTCTTTAGGGCAGATGTATTGGCGGTGGCGTTGTCCACCGTGATGGTGAATATCTTCTGTATTCCCCATTCAGCCAAACACTCCATAAGGACTCTTGTTATAGTGGTCCCTTTATGATCCGTGATGTACTTGAACCCGATGATTAGCTTCCTCATTTCCCAATTTGCATCAATGAAATGTGCTGTAATCACCATATAGCTAGCACCTGTTGCTTGAGCCACCCATATGTCAGTAGTAAGTGACACTCGCTGCTTGTTAGCTGCAATCCAAACTTTAAGACCCGCTCTCCTCTCCTCATACATCTTCACAATGTTTCTGGTAGCAGTTCTTCTTGAATGCGGTGTGTAGAGATTAACTCGACTACAGAAGTGTCTCCAAGCCATGCTTTCAATGAAGGCAAGTGGCAATTCTCCTAACACTAGCAACTCATCAGTCGCCACTTTGAAGATATCCTCTGAAACCTTTGCTTCCACCAATCGTCCATCCTTAGTAACAGCTCTCGTATCTGCAGACTTACTTGCTTCAAATGCCAACAACTTCTTGCAGGTTAACATATGCTTCCCCAAGTTAGAAGTCCCTTTGGATGATGCACAACCGTAAACTCTTTTACAATGACGACAAATGCATTTGTCCTTGTCCTCCTCAAGTGGATCAAAATGTTTCCACACTTTAGACCTTTTACCCGCTGTTTTCTTTTCATTGGGTTGACCAGAAGTATCTCCATTTGTCTCCTTCCTTTTCCCTTGATTAGGTGTGGACTGTGTGGTAAAGGTTTCTGCTGTATCTTGAGTTTCACCATCGGGAAATGATGAAGAATCCATCTACAATAAAACAAAATCAGTTAGCATAAATAATAATTCAGATAGATAATACTCAATATCGAACTGATAAATAACAGAAACATGAAGACAATTAGAAAAAAAAACTAAGAAACATAAGCTAATAACCAGAAAAACAAACACAGTTACAGAGAGATAAGACACAATAACGCTAAAAAAAAAAAAACTTAAGAACAAGACAAGACAAAAACAGAAACAAACCGATCAAGAAATAAACATTGTTCAAAAATGTTGATTATTTTAATAACTAGTTACTTGTTCGTGTCTTAAGAACTAAGAACCAAAACCTTAAACTAAGAAGTATTAAATTCACATATTCACTCGAACAAGACAAGACATCAACGTCACATATTAACTCAAACAGATACATCACTTTGAATCTCATCTCATAATTAAGCAAGAAAATAAATCACAAGGGTTAACAAGATTAGTAAGTACAGAGACAGAACGAGAAGAAGATCTAAACTAACTAAGCATAAGAAGACTTGGAATTAAACTAAAAATTATAAGCTAAGCTGAGAAATAAATCCAATAACATCGAGTATCGACAATGCAAACTGAATTGAATCAAAGAAACAAAAGCTAAGTAACTGAACATAAAAACCAGAAACATGACAATACATTTTTCAAAAACAAATTATGAACTCAGGATTCGGAAAGCAAATCAAAGCAGACTTAATCAAAAGAATTAAGAGAAAAGAATTTGAGATCACCTTTGAATGATTTCTTGACGTCTCTGATGGAGGAGACGGATGAGAAAATCGAATGAGGGTTTCCAGATTTTCAGTTTGGGATTTGATATTGAAGATCATGTAAACGAAAATAGCGGGGAATGGAGATAGTGGAATCGAATCGACTAATGCAGGTAAGGGTCAGTTTAGATTGTGCGGATATTTCGGGTACGTTTACGGGTCTCGGGTATTATCGGGTATTACCCGGTACCCGAATGGAGAGAAGAAAAGGATCCAAATGGGTATTTTTCAAAATCGGATCGGATCCGGATCGGATATTTTCGGGTAAATATCGGGTCGGATTTTCGGATCCGGATAAAATGCCCACCCCTTTTACCTGATCAAATTATTTTTATATGCAGAGGATGTGAAGGAGTTACATGGTAAAATACTTGACTCTGTCAATGTCAAGAGATCGATGCCTCCAAACGCTTGGTTGTGGTCATTGATTGAGAACTGTAGGAATGAGGATGACATTAGTTTTCTGTTTCACGTTTTACAGAATCTCCGGAGATTTGTGATTACTTTATTTCTTTCGTTTTGTGTTCCTTGTTCTTGTTAGATAATCCTCACTTATTGGTTCTGAGATTATGTGTGTTCTGAGATTGTAGAGATTGACCAATCTCCGTATTCATGACAACTTTAATTGCAATCTGTGTCGCCAAGTGGCTAAGGCTTGTGTACGTGTGGGAGCAATCAAACATGGTACTCCCAAATCTTTTACCTTTTAGTAAGATTATCACTCCTGAATCTGTCAACGCTTATGGTTTGGATCGCAGGTAAACGAGCTCTCTGGAAACATAATGTTCATGGTTTGACACCTAGCGTTGCATCTGCACATCATTTACTGGTATTGCAAGTCTATAAGCTGGCTGATTGGTTAATTGTTTCCGGCGCACAGATTTTTAAGGATGTTTTTGTTGCTGGTTTTGTGTAGTCATATGCGTTGGAGCACAAGAACGCCAAACTCATGGACGAAGTGATGAAACTCGTGAAGGCAAATGACTTGCCTCTACAACCAGGTACAGCGGATTTAGTTTTCAGGTGTGTAGTTCTCCGGTTTCTATGGCTCGCTCGTTGGATGAGATTTGTTACCATGAAATGAACTTCAACAGAATGTTTGCAGGATCTGTCATGATACAGATAGCTGGGATCTATTAGCTAAGTACTCGAAGAAATTCTGCAAAGCTGGAGTCAGGTTAAGGAAGACCACATTTGATGTGTGGATGGAGTTTGCTGCCAAAAGAGGTACGTTTGGTGGTTTCCTATGTTGTATAGTTTGTCAAAACCATTCCATTATTTGAAACTTGAATTGGTCTTGAGATATGTCTAGGTAAAACATCAAACGAGCTATCAACCTTACCATATGTCTTGTACTACTTTGCTTACTGTGTCATTTGCACTCATTCTGTATCAGGAGAGACAGAGTCGTTGTGGAATGTTGATAAGCTGAGATCTGAGAGTTACACTCAACACACACTTTCCGCTGCTTTTTCATGTGCAAAGGTAAAAGCAATTCTTTTTACATCCTTAATGTTATGGGCATAATCACACCTATTCATATTTTCTACAGTTAAATTTCAGAAACGTTTGTTCTCTCGCAGGGTTTCTTGCTAGAACAGAAACCTGAAGAAGCTGCTGCTGTCATCCAAATCATCTGCCAGGTCTAACCCAAAACCTGGTTTAACATCTTTTTCAATTGTCCTAATTCTTGGATCAAGACATTTTTAAAAAAATATGTTTCTGTATACGCTTCTCAGGCATGTCCTGATGAGAAGAAGTCAACACTTGAGGCTGAGTTGAAGAAGCTGGTAAATGAGTGGCCCATGGACGTGATCAAGCACCAAACTGAAGAAGATAAGAGGGTAAAATTCTCCTCTCTGTGTAAAGCCATCCTGAAACAAAAAGCTGGTAATGATCTAAACCATGCCCTCCTTTTAATTGTGCTATAACAAACAGGCTGTAGCAGCTTCACTGAGATCTGACATCCCTGCAATGGTCAATGCTTTGGTAAACTCTGGTTTGAGAGTAAATGTGGATTTGAACGAGTTAAACAAGAACGAATCTCTTCTCTGATGACTGGATCCATTCACAGCAAACTCAAGGCTCAACAGAATAATATTCAAGTCCGGGTATAGTAGGGACTCTGTTTTGCTCTTGGAACCAAAGAGGAAGAAGTAAACACATTTCTTAATTCCTCTCTTTAGTCCCTTGCATTCCACGGCAACGCTTTCTCGTTTTTTCCTTTTGTAATTCAACGAAGCAAACTCTTATTAATTATATAAACTTTTTTTTTCCTTTCCCAAACAAACCTTCCTCTCTGTTTTAACTTCTCTGGACTTCTCACTTTCACGCCCAAATCTTCCTCTCTGTTCACAAAGGTGATGAATTTGGAGGACCATTTATCGTTAGGTGAGTTTCATATATCGAATCTTATAAAGAATCATATCTCTAGAGGATCATCGAGACAAGCTCTGCTTCTGTACCAAGAAATTCGCCGGAAAGGAGTGTTTTTTCCGGGATGGATTCCTCTGCTTTTGAAAGCCTGTGCTTGCGCTCCATGCGTTGTTCTCGGGAAGCTGCTGCATTCCGAATCGATAAAGTTCGGAATTTGCTCTGACGTTATGGTGGGAAGCTCTCTGATCAGCATGTATGGGAAATGGAGATGTGTAGTCTCTGCGCGTAAGGTGTTCGATGAAATGCCTGAGAGAAACGTAGCGACTTGGAACGCTATGATCGGTGGGTATATGAACAACGGTGATGCAGTTTCGGCTACTAGATTGTTCGAGGAGATCAACGGTGGTAGAAATACAGTGACTTGGATCGAGATGATGAAAGGGTATGGGAAGAGAAACGAGACAGAGAAAGCGAGAGACTTGTTTGAGAGGATGCCTTTAGAGTTAAAGAATGTGAAGGCTTGGTCTGTGATGCTTGGAGTTTACGTTAGTAATAGAGAGATGGAAGCTGCAAGGAAGCTTTTTGAGGAAGTACCTGAGAAGAACACGTTTGTGTGGTCATTGATGATCTCTGGGTATTTTAGGATTGGTGATGTTCATGAGGCTACATCTGTTTTTGACCGTGTTTTTGTTCGTGATTTGGTGATATGGAACAGTTTGATCGCTGGTTATGCAAAGAATGCTTACTCTGATGATGCTATTGATGCTTTTTATAGGATGCAAGGAGATGGGTTTGAAGCGGATGCAGTGACGGTTTCAAGTGTTTTATCTGCTTGTGCTCAATCAGGTCGTCTTGATGTTGGCAGAGAAGTTCACTCTCTGATTAACTTCAAAGGAATTGAACTTAATCAGTTTGTTTCCAATGCATTGATCGACATGTATGGTAAATGTGGGGATCTTGAGAATGCGACGTCTGTGTTTGAGTCGTTGAGTCTGAGAAGTGTAGCTTGCTGGAACTCGATGATCTCGTGTCTCGCCATTCATGGGAAAGGCAAAGAAGCTTTGGAGATGTTTAGAACGATGGAGAGGTTTGATACAAGTCCTGATGAGATCACTTTTCTTGCGGTTCTCACTGCTTGTGTTCATGGAGGGTTTCTAGAGGAAGGTCTGAAGATATTCTTGGAGATGAAGAGGAAAGATGTGAAACCTAATGTGAAGCATTTTGGATGTTTGATTCATCTTTTGGGACGGTCAGGGAAACTGAAAGAGGCTTACGGATTGGTTAGAGAAATGCCTGTGAAACCGAATGATACAGTGTTGGGAGGTTTACTTGGGGCATGCAAGGTTCATATGGATACAGAAATGGCTGAACAAGTGATGAAGATCATCGAGACTGCGGAAAGTAGCAGAAACGGTGAGAGAGAAAACCATCTTGTGTCGATATCGAACTTGTATGCACACACCGAGAGATGGCAAACAGCTGAAATGTTGAGAGTTGAAATGGAGCAAAGAGGTCTTGAGAAATCCCCAGGGTTTAGCTCACTAGTTTTGACATGAGTCTACACACGACATAGGTTTCATTATTTGTTGCTACTTATGTGATTATAAAACTGCCTTCATAATACAAGAATATCAACTCGTTTCTTCATAATTGACTATGATGCAATTGAATGGGCCCACTTTTTATGCTTTAAAAAATGACATTTAGATTTATTTTGATATTAATAAACAAAATGTTTAGGAAAATACTATAACAAAAATATTTGGTAATTACATGGTTATTGGAGGCAATGAAATTAAAATATCATATAACAAAGACATGATAAGAAAATTTGAATTTTCAGTAAATATTTGGGGTTGGTATGTTGAGTTTAGAATTTATGGTGTAGTTCTAAGGGTTTTAAAGTTTAGTTTTGAACGCTTAAAGTTTATTTTTAGTATTGTGATATTATTTAGAAAAACTGACCTCATGAGAAATAATATTAATGGTGACAATTTAAGAACAAAAATTTATTTTTGTGGTATTTTAAAAAATTGATCAGACTATGTACATTTTAGGCATCATGTGACCACATGTCGGATTCACCTCCAAAAAAACAGTAACAACATAATGGATATCATGATCATCATATTGATCCAACACCAATCCATCAATATCTTACTCACATAGCCGTTTTATCCCGTTTTATCCATTTTTAGTTTTTAATATCTTTAATGTGTGACATGTTTTCAAAAATAGTGTGATAAAAGACAAATTTGCGTTGTTTTTCTAAATCTTTTTCCATATCCCATAAGATTTATCTTATTCCCATCTTAATCTTAGATTATAAGATTGATTTACTCTCTAGGTTATAAGATCGTATTCGTATTCTGATGATCATATTTTGGATTGCAATAAGAAATGAAGCGCTTTAAGAAAAATTTGGACAAGATGACATTTGGCGCTGCTATGGAAGGCACACAGCAATACCTGGAGAGTCTGAATAGAACTGTTGCGTTTCTATCAGATCAGGAAGACCATGAAGAGGGCAATCAAGTTTTGTTGGAGAAGATCGCTGAGCTGCGACAACAGTTGCATAAGAAGTTCGATTAGGTGAGAAAGGTCATAGTTACTCTCCGTTTTATCCATTTTTGTTAGTTTTTAATATCTTCAGTGTGTAACATGTTTTCAAAAATAGTGTGATAAAAGACAAGTTCGATTATATCAAATATTTTAGTTTGTTTTATAAAATTGTTTGGCCAAAGTTTAGTTATTTCACATAAGAAAAGAACTTGACTTCAGTATAGTAATCACTTGTGATTACCAAAAGTATTGAATAAAAATTTCAGCGATTTTGTTTGACAATTAGAATCTCAAGCATATACAGTATTTGAATAAGTATGATGTATTCTATCAGATTTGTATTGCTACTACTAAAAGAAAAGAAGGATTGATAACATTACTATTAATTTTAACAAAAACAAAAACAAAAATAGGGGCGTTCCGAGAATTGAACTCGGGACCTCTCGCACCCTAAGCGAGAATCATACCACTAGACCAAACGCCCTTTTTGTAAATTGTATAGAACCAAAATATATAGACACAACGTAACGTTGTTTCCCTCCAGATTTATTGTGTTAATTAATTCACACTCCCGCGAACCCTAACGGAGACGCTTTTACTGTCTTTGCGCGCCTAAAATTCAGTCTTCTTCTCACTTTTCGGATCTAGCCGACAATTCTCCTCTAGTCTGTCGTTTAACTTCGTGGTGCGAACCCAATCCCGTCGAATCGAGTAGAAAGTGGGATTGATTACTGTTTGTCGGAGTTTCGTTAATCAAAATCGAAATGGCCAAAGTAGATAATAACTTCTCTCCGCTTCCAGAGACACAGCCGATTGATTCTCTTCCCTCTTCGCCTTCTCATTCTGGTAAATCTCTCAATTATCTCACTAGCGTTGCTTTGTTTTTGTTTTGTTTATTCTTCATGAAAGCTGTGAATTTTGCCTCTTCCCGATCTGTTTTTCTCGCTTCAAAATCGACAAGAGTTGGGCTTGATTTTAGGTTTCAACTGTTAATGGTCTCTCCGATAATGGATTTTATCTTTTCCCACTGAAAAAACTCAGACTTTTCTTCGCCCAATCGGAGATTTTAGTGGTTTTGTAGGTTCTTACTTGGCTTAATTTGTTTCGTGTGTTAGGTGAAGATAAAGATGCTTGGATTAGGAATCATGACGATGAGTTAATTCAGGACACGGCACCTTTTGAGGACGATGCCTGGATCAATGATGAGTATTTGGAGACTCAGGTCATAGACACTGAATGCGACAATGAAGAAGTTCTTCTGTGTGATGAAACTCAATGTGTTAGTGAATATTTGGAGACTCAGGTCATAGAGACTGAATGTGACAATGAAGAGTTTCTTCTTTGCGATGAAACTCAACCTTTCACTATGGGATTTGAAACTCAAGAAGAACCACTTGTAGACAACACTAATCTCTTGACGAGTGAAGATAATAGACAACATGCTAATGAGAAGGTTGAATCAACAGGTGCTCTTGATGCTGGATCCAATAAAGATGGAATCTCTGGTGAGTTTCTGACCAGAAGTCTTGTCCTTTTTTCTTGCATCAAGTTCTCGTTTTTACTTCTGGTTAAGAATTAAAGTTGAGTACTAGGACTCAGTTCATGTTTCTTGAGTTATAATGTCTTGACTCTACATTAGTTGGTCAGAGATTACCAGCTTCTAAGCATGAAAAGTTTTTAGTTTATAACTTATTGAAAATATTTGTATCTCTTCTTGGAGATGAAGTTCTTAATCTACTAAGTATATGCCATCTTGCATCATGATTCACAAGTTAAGACTTTTGTTGATATGTTCTCTTCAATATGTTTGAATAATTTGAAGCTGTTTCTCTCATTTGCATTTTTGTTCACTGAGGTTTTTTTTTTTCTTTCACCAGGAGGAAAGGTAGCTACGTTCACTTCACTTCGTACAGCAGCTTTTCGTGCTTCTGCTATGGCAGCACGTGCTGCAACCCAAAAGCTTTTGAGCAGTGACTGTTCTGCTCTACTCAGTTGTCATTCTTCTGGTCAAGGAGTCAAGCATAATGTTGGAGAAGTCGGTGATAAGCAGTGTCTTCCCAGTCCTGTTGAAAGGAAAAATGAGTTGCGAAAAGGAAACAGAACAGCAAGGAAGCTTTTCCTTGATGATCCGACGGAAGAAGAAGAGTGCCCTTATGTTCCTTTGAGTTATTTTGACTCTCAAGAGCCTGGTGAGGCATCCCAGGCCAGTGCTCTTAATTTTGTTGATAAGTTAATTAGTGAGTCACGTGTAGAGTTTGCTCTTGATGTTGAACCTGACTGTGGAAGGAGAAGAGAAGAAAAATCGAAATGTGTTGCGAGTGTGAAAGGTCCACAGGAATTAGCAAAGAAAGTAAGTTACCAAGCGAGAGCTGTTGGAAACGCTGTGTTCGACTGGGATGATAGTCGTGAGGATGAAGGAGGAGGTGATATCTATCGTAGAAGGAAAGAAGAATTCTTTGGCGTTGGAAGTAAAGCACGAGAACCTCTTACCTTGCCTAGAGAACAGAAGAGAGAACTGATACATGAAAGTCATAAAAGACTTGGAGTTGCAGTGGCTCATTCTGATTCAAGGCTGTTGCAGCAGAGTATGACTAGGAGCCGAAAGACTATCCAGGCTACTAAAAAGAATCTTGGCAAGGAGTTAGATGCTGCAGTTTCCGAGGAAAGTAATGATAAAGCATTTGAGATTCGTGATTTGGTTGCTTTAGGGTATGATACACAAGTGGCTGCTGAAGCTGTTGATGCTCTGCGCTCTGGAGACCGCAGCAAGCTTGATGCCGCCGAGGCGAGTAGTCTTACAGGAAAGAATCTGTCACCGGGAGAAGAGAGAGGGTTTTCTAATGGCGTTACTAGACAATCCAAGGGAACTAAGAGGATTCAGGCTATGGGTAAAGATGAATTGGTGAGAAGAAGAATGAAGAAAGCTAGCCCTAGTCCTGCTAAAGCTTGCAGGAAGAATATCGAAAGGTCTTCAAAGAGTGACCAGCTTGATAAGGAAGTTACATGCAGCTTGAAGAGAAAGAAGGTCCAGACTGCTTCACGAGAAAGTAAAAAGAATCTTGTTGATAAGTTGGATGGAGATTCCAAGGAAAGTAATTCAAGAATGTTTGATAGGCGTGAAGAGGTAGAAGCAGGCCCTGATACACAAATGGCTGCTGAAGTGATTAATGCTCTGCACTTTGGAGACGACAGGGAAATTGGTAGTGAGCCAAATTGGCTTACAGGCAAGAGACCTTCACCGGAAGAAGGCATTTCTGGTCGTGGAGTTGCTACCAGAAAATCCAAGAGAAAGAAGGGGATTCAAGCTGTGGACAATGATGTTGAATTGTTGAAGCCAAAAGCCAAGAAGACTAGATCAACTCTTTCCAAGGCTTGTGAGAAGAATGCCAAACTTGATACGCCAGATGAAGTTGTTGTGTCTAAGCTACTAAAGCAATCAAGTAGATGTGAAGCTGAGTTGTTGAGTGATCCCAAACGGAGAAGATCAGCTCGTATTTCACAAGATGTGGTTAATGAGGCAGAGAGGATTTCCGATTCTGCTTATGATACACCAGTTAAGTCTAAGGCACCTTCAAAGATTGTATCCCCTATATGCATGGGCGATGAGTATCATAGACTCTCTTGCAAGGATTCACGTAAATCAAAGACCACAAGGGAATTCCGAAGCTTGACCTCACCATTAGAGGAACCTGTTCTTGAGAAAAGGAGTACAAGAAAGAGAAGAGATTTGAGTAGTATACGTGTTTTGTTCAGCCAGCATCTTGATGAAGAGGTGACCGAGCATCTGAAAAAGGTAGAATTTGGATTTCTTACTGTATCTTCCGTTATCTTATACCTTGCAATTCTTTTGTAGTTTTATTTTACGTGAAAGTAAACTTCTAACAATCTGATACTTGCTTTACAGATTTTGGCTAAGTTTGCTATCTCGGAAGCATCCACCATGACGGAGGCAACACACTTCATAGCCAATACCTTTATGCGCACAAGAAACATGCTGGAGGCAATCGCTTCTGGAAAGCCAGTGGTCACTACACAATGGCTTGAAAGCATCGATCAAGTAAACATTTATGTTGACGAGGAACTTTACATACTCAGAGACTCAAAGAAAGAGAAGGAGTTCGGTTTCAACATGGGGGTTTCTCTGGCTCGTGCTCGCCAGTTTCCGCTACTACAGGTATCCAACGCTCTTTTGGTCTCCATCCCTTTCCTTTTAGCTGGTCTCCTTCTTTGCTCATTATCTCTGAACACCATTTCAGGGGAGAAGAGTCTTTATCACCCCAAATACAAAGCCTGGTTTAACCACAATCACCACTTTGGTCAAGGCTGTTCATGGACGGGTACTCTTCTTAGCCTTTCTTACACTTTCATGTTTATAAAAGCCAAAACGTTTTATTTATAACTTTTTCTTCCCCAAACTGATTCATACTTCAAAAATATTCCAGCCTGTAGAAAGACTTGGAAGATCTACCCTAAGCGAAGACAAGGTTCCGGAGAATCTTCTAGTCTTATCATGTGAAGAGGATCGCGATATCAGCATACCATTTCTGGAAAGAGGTAGACTACATTTTGGTGTGTATATTATGTGTTAGATTTTCATTGTGAATTCAACTGTTTTTCGTTTTCTCTTCTACTCCTCAGGGGCAGAGGTTTATAGCTCGGAGTTACTGCTGAATGGGATAGTTACTCAAAAGCTAGAGTATGAGAGGTTGGTATTATTGTTTATCTTTACATGAGATTTTTGTATTTGTCGAATAAAGATTTGTCTCATCTCATTGATGTGGCTTCTTCTGAACCTTGGAACTGTGTCAGGTACCGTCTCTTTGCTGACAATGTTAGGAAAACGCGGTCAACGATATGGATCAAAGACGGCAAAGGTATGTTCCAACGCCGTCGCGGGTGAAGGAGGAAATGTGATCAAACTACTTGTCTATGAGAGTTCTGTTTTAGATTCACTTTATTAGATAGACGAGAAAGTTGTTGTATATGTAATGGTTGTTGTCTTTGGCTTCAACTTGTGTAATTACTAAGTTATACAACATCCCCTTACTATGAAAACTAATACATGTCTTTATACTACACTTATCATCTTGATTGTTTTTATCTTTTTCAAGTTTATGTGTTAGTTTTGTCTTTTTTATTTTAACAAAACCATAGACTGTAACGTTGAGTTGCAGTTACATAAAAAAAAAAAAATCACTGGAAACATCGGTGAATACTTTGATGTTAAATAAACCGAGAACAGATTTAGAAGTAAGGTAATCATTAGTTTAAAATAAATTTAATAAAAAATTGGCATTTGCAAAGTTAAAGAAAATAGTACCGAACTGGGTTAACCGTTAATAACTCCTGTCCAAAATCTGAACCGTCATTGCATCAAAAAGATTCAAAAACTACACTAACAACCTTTTGGAAGCGGAGACATCTCTTGGTCTCTTCGACATCACATAACATAAACCACTGTCTGAAATTTCTGTAACCAATCGGCGATTCATTAATGACGAAAGCAAAGAAAAAGGATAATGTCAGAGTAAGATCATACTTTAACGCCATCGTTTTTCTTAATCCTCTGCTTGACAATTGTTTTTCCAACGATACTTCATTTTGTTTTCAACTTTTCCTTTCGATATGATGTGTAGTATGTGGATGTCGAATACAATGTATCGATGCATTGTAACGCATGCGAGAGAAAAATCGCTCGAGTAATTTCCAAATACAAAGGTAAAATCAAAGTTTCCTTTTAACTGTTTTACAAATCTTTGCAATATATCTATGTTTCCTTTAGTTTCTTCTAATTTGAATTATGAATAGGAGTTGAAACATTTGTGACGGATATGCCTAACCAGAAGGTTGTGGTAAAGGGTAAGATTGATCCGAAGAAATTGTTGAAGAAACTCAAGAAGAAGACAGGCAAAAGAGTGAAGATTGTTGTGAATGAAGAGAGAGACGAAGAATCTAGCAAGGACGATAGTGTTCTCGAGATTGATATGGAACTGATCTGCTTAAGGGATGAGTCGGTTTTCGGGTATAATGACAGGGAGTTCGAGAAATTTATGTGGTTCAACGATGAGAATCCAAAAGCCATATGTTGCATTTCTTAGTGTAGTTGAAACGAGACATAAACACTTCTTGAAAATGTGAATGTATTGGTTTGGAGAAAATGAAACTTCTTGAACATTTTTCTTTGTTATGATGTAACAAATCTGGTCGAGTCCAATTGCAATAAACAAGATTTGTTATATAACGATTTTTTCATCTCGGACCGGATCAATGGTTTATATCAACTCTAATTTTCTCTATAAATACACATTATTCAAAGAACACACTTTCAGATCTTATTATGCATTATCTCTTAAACAATTAAAAGCCCATGCAAAAAGGAAAAACGAGGGTTTGGGTTATTTCCTTTTGGGCGAGAGACATCAGAGAAGTTGTTGTTTGCGTTGCGGCTGAGATTCAAAGAGATATTTCTTTCCATTTCCGGTAAATTTCATTTCCCTTTAAGATTTAGATTCAGGAAATAAGATTGATTGATTTAGTTAGGTTTTAAATTGATTTTGGGTTGATTGATCGTATTCTGATGATCTGAAAACTTGATTTAGCTTGACAATGATTAAATCTTGTGGAAGATCTGGGTTGATTTTGTAGCTGATGATGTGAAAACGCATTTCTTAGTGCAGAGATGGAGCAGTTTAAGAAAAAGCTTGAGAAGGGGATGACGCTTGGTGAGGCTATCGAAAGCACACAACACTAGTCATAAACACATTAAAACAAACAATCTTGAAAATGCGAATGTCTTGGTTTGGAGAAAATGAAACTTCTTGAACATTTTTCTTTGTTAGGATGTAACAAATCTAGTCCAACTGTAATAAAGGTTAATTAGGTCAATAACAATATTGGAACCCAATATAAAGAATATAGCCATTATAAATAAACAAATTAGTAGAATAATAAAGAGAAAACTTTTTAGACAACTTTTTGACAATTTTCTCCTTAGTTGCATACGCATAAAACTTCCCCCCATTTTCATTAATGACGTTATCACGTCAATGGTACTCAAACTCACATATTATATTATGAAATTTTCTAAATCCAAAACTCATAGTCTAAACCTTAGACCCAAAGTTGTAAACAAAAATCTAAACCCTAAACCATGAAATTTAAATCGAAAATATAAACCTTATCCCAAAATATAAATCATAAACAATATTTGTTATATAATGATTCTCTATAAGCAAAAACTAACTACAATGCCTTTTTTTGGCGGGAGACTTAATTAACTACCTATAAGTCTATAACCATTTAGGACCTTCTGTTGCAGCCAGAGTCTTAGAGTACTCTGTTTTCTTCCAATAGAGAATCAAAAGAACCTGTGTATGTGACTATGTGTATGTGTGCATGCTAATCTGTTGGAGATCTCGCTACTCCCAAAACAAGGCTTCTCTACGTGTCCCGATTAAGTTAAGTGCAGTGGCTGCAATGTGAGAAGCTGTGAGGCCAGCTTCAGCCATTTGATCCAGTGGTGATCCATGCTCGATATAACGGTCAGGTAATACCATTGGTCTCCACTATAGTAGTAAAAAAGATGGCATTAAGGGACTAAAGGAGATACAAATTTGAACAGAGAATGTTGCAAGAATGTAATGTACCTTGAGCTTTCCGTCAAGAAGACCATCAAGAGCAAGAAACTGTACCACATGCGATCCAAACCCTCCAATGGAACCTTCTTCAACCGTTATCAAAACCTCGTGCGATTTAGCTAAGCCACGAATGAGAGCAATGTCTAACGGCTTGCAAAATCTTGCATCGGCGACAGTTATCTTTAACCCTCGCTCATCGAGTATCGAAGCAGCCTCTAAACAGTTTTGAACGGCTGATCCATAGCCTAAGAGTGCAACCCTCTCGCCTTCTTTCAAGATCCTACCTTTTCCAATCTGAAATTACAAAACTTGAATGTTCATGAGTATTGTTTTGGATTCATAAAGAGTTCTTGATTTGAACATACCTCAAGAGGGACACCTTTGTTTCCAAGAGGAAGTGAAACACCAATACCGTTTCATCTAGGATATCGAAAGCAAGAAGGACGGTCATCAATAGCTGCAGCGGTTGCAACCATGTGAAAAAGCTCTGCTTCATCAGATGGAGCCATCACTATCATGTTTGGAAGACAAGCCATAAACGTTACATCAAATGCTCCACAATGCGTTGGACCATCTCCTCCCACAAGTCCTGCTCTGTCCATTGCAAATCTCACTGGCAGTTTCTGAAGATCAACATCGTGTACAACCTTACACAAACCAACACAGAAAACAGAATCAGTTAAGTTATGAGAAAAATGTTTTGACAGAGCAGAGGAGGACTTGGTTTACTTGGTCATAAGCTCGTTGCATGAAAGACGAGTAGATTGCACAAAAGGGCTTAAGGCCTTCACAAGCAAGACCAGCAGCGAAAGTAACTGCGTGTTGTTCTGCTATACCAACATCGAAACATCTTGTAGGGAAGCGACGCTGGAAGAGATTCAAACCAGTCCCACCTCCCATGGCTGCATGAATGGCTACAATATCTTTGTCTGCCTCTGCTTCCGCAATCAATGCTTCCGCAAAATAGGTAGTGTAAGACTGAGTCTTGCCAGTGCTCTTAAACTGTTTACCTGTTTCTGGATCAAACTTCACAACTCCTAAACAAGAAAAGTGGATCAATCCAAGAAAAACATGAAAACATTTTAATCTTTGTGAATCAAATTTTACCATGATACTTGTCATCAGCTCTCTCTGCATAAGGATATCCACGACCTTTCTCAGTCAAGACATGAATAAGAACCGTTCCTATGGTTCTTGTGTTCTTTACTTCTTTAAGAATGGAAACAAGATCATCAATGTTGTGTCCATCAACAGGACCAATATAGTAGAGACCAAGCTCTTCAAAAAGTGTTGAACCGGTTCCACTAATCATACCACGAGCATACTCGTCTACCTTTGAAGCTAACCGGTGCATTGATCCTCCAATTTTCTTTGTCATCCCCTGTAAACAACATAATGAAAACTTTTTCATTTCCACAAAATTTTAACAATTTCACCAGCAAAAGCAAAAGAACAATTACTTGCCTTTGCAGCTTCTCTCAGTTCCCTGAGAGAACGATTAGACTGTAACTTACTAAGAGCACTGCTCAAAGCTCCAACAGGTGGAGTTGGTCCATCTAAGTTAGCAGTAGGCAAAGAGACTTGCCTGTTGTCGTTGAGAATCACTATCATGTCAGTGTCTAAGTAACCAGCATTGTTCATAGCTTCATAAGCTTGTCCTGCTGTCATTGCACCATCGCCTATAACCGCAACAACATTGTTGTTCCTCCCTTTCAAGTCTCTTCCCATAGCCATCCCTAATTCACAATCAAGATCGTTAAGAATCACTTTTCTTTCTTGTTTCGATTTCGTGTCACACAAGAAAGAAGAAATTTACCCAAGCCTGCAGATATTGTGGTTGAACTATGACCAGTGCCAAAGGAATCATGCTCACTCTCTCCTCGCTTGGTGAAACCGGACAAGCCATTGGTTTGTCTCAATGTCTTCATCTTTCCTCTTCTTCCTGTTAGAATCTTGTGAGGATAAGACTGTCCAAAAGACAAAAAAAAAAATAAGTCAGAACTTGTGAAAACTTTTTGCTCAAAATGAAATATATATAACATCACCAAACTATATAAACCAACCTGATGACCAACATCCCAAAGGATCTTATCTTGAGGAGTATTGAAGATGTGATGAAGAGCTACTGTGAGCTCAACAACACCGAGATTAGAGCCTAAATGTCCACCAGTTTTCGAGACGTTAAAGATTACATCAGACCTTAACTCATCCGAAAGAACTTCAAGTTCCTACACCATGTCCAATTCCATAAAAAAGCATAATCGTTTATTGTTCCATCATTGCATTGTTTGATGACAAAACAAAGCTTAGAGAGGAAACAGATGGATCAAAGCTTCGGGTTAAGAATTATTAATACCTTGATGGACAAATTTTTCATTTGGATTGGATGGTTGATTGTGTCCAACAAAGGAGTCGGTGGTCTAGTGGAATAATATTCACCCTTCTTTACAAGTGAACCATACACTGTTGTCCTTATTTTTGACTGAAGACAACAACAACAAAAAATTATTAATTAAAAATTAACAGATATTTCACATTTTTATTTTTGGTTTCTCAATGAGAATTTGCAGGATTGTCCATTAAATGCAAGCTCATATATAGAATAATCAATAAGTAGACAGATGAAGAATAAAACACTTACAAGAGCAACGATACTTCTCGGGCATAGTGATGGAAAATATGTAGCCAAAGATCGAGAAGAAGAGAGAGATGTAGATTTACAGTAATCTATTAAAGTTTCTCTACTTGTGTAGTAAGAAGGAAAGGCAAATGCAGAGAGAGCCATTTGAGAAATTATACGAAAGACCAACGACAAGAGCTATAGTTGAGTTGAAACTTGAAAGTAATCACCTAATTTATAAGAAAATATATTCGTATTTAGATTAATGACTCGCAGCACAAAATGGCAGTAAAAATATATATTTAAAAAAATATATATTATTGACTAGACATGTCACATATCTATCATGATGGATTGATGGTGATTAGTGGTGGTGGGTGGCAACAATGGTGAAGAGTAGATACCTAGAAAAGATAACTTCGTATTTTGATAAATTACATAAATTTTTTACTTTTGATAAAAATTGATGATCCGATGCCAATGAGGTGTATTTGTTTATATTAAAAATTACTCTGAATTCATCAAATAATATCTATTGTAAAATAAAATTCTAATTTTAAAACGATACTAAAGTCTAAAAATGGATATTTATCCTTAATACATATAAATATATTTCAATTTTGTTTTGGTTAAAATAACACATAAATATATAATCTGTTGTTAGACAGAGTAGTCAATCCCAATTAAATTTAACGGTCACAGAGGTATGAGTCTTGTGTCACAAGTATTAAACAAACGTTTAGAGAAATTTAGGAGGACTAATTAAGCGTACACTTAGAAGCAGTGGATGGAGAAACAAAAAAAAATATAGAGTGTGAACGATAAACAACATAGATAACGGAAGATGCATATAATTGGAAAATTTGTTTAGGCTAACCATTATAAAACATCTTAAAAGTGCACAAGGAAAAAAGCTTTGAATATGCAAAAACACTGAAATATAATGCATGTTTCACGTTGTCGTAAGCGACCCAAACTGTGAGAGATATTTCTATGAAAATTCTGTCACATCAACGTAACTATAGGCATAGTACATGTATTTTCAGATTAGATAGTTAATTACGTTTGACTAGTTGCTCGTCAGTAGTTATGTTATGTAACAGACAATAATTATAAGTGCCTTTTCTAGTTGATTTCTTTAAGTCTCTCGGTCAACCTCTCGTGTCTTTAGTCATCTTGTAAGTTGTATGCATGTGACTTTTCAACAAAATACATGTTCCCCTATGTTATACAGGCCCGTATAACATTGTTATATGTATTTTGTATGCATTGGTCGGTTGTAAGGGCGGCTACAACTGGAGTTGAGCAGAGGCCGACGCCGAGGTTAAAGCTTTTCTAAAGGAGGAAAGTCCATGTATGCATGTTTTCTTAACCGAATAAATATGTTTTGACAGAGATGACTAATTCTTTTATAGATTCATAGAAGTTCACGATCATGCAACAAGAAAAAGTCATAAATTGTTGGCAAAAGAAAACCCATAAATTATCGATGTTTATTATTACCTAAAAACTATACATATCTTAGGCCCATTTCCTATCATTTTAGGCTACGAAAATTCAAATGGCCCGTTTGCATTCTGTTTTTATTTTGTTTCTAAAATAATCCAACTAAAAATCCAATTCCGGAGTTAGCACAAAGTGCTAGAGCTCTACGTACTGATGTGTATTATGTAAATTTTGTTCCTCTGATCTGGATCCTCGAAATTGGTTTAGAAATAGAAGCTGTCGACCAAAAAAAAAAAAAAGAATCCAATTCCAATTACGATCAAGTTGATTCCACTTCTTTATACAATGCAAGAAAAATGCCAGATTCTTCGTAATTAAACTAGTATTGTAATGATTTAGATACTAATATTACCCATTTGGATAATGATTTTACATAGCCTAATTAATTCCGACCCAACTCATACTCACTATTACCCAAGCTTTATCCAAAATGAATAGACATCATTTTTAATATGTAGAACTATTATTACATGCTTGGTATCTTATTATACAAAAGTAGGATTTAGGTGTGGATTAAGAAAATGTAGAGTTTCACTAATCCATCGGCAGAAAGACACAAGTTCACAGGAGAACAACATTTTTAGATGGTAAAAAAAAAAGGAAAGAGCTCCAGATTGAAATAACCATAGAAGGTGATGTGATGAATCCACTCAAAAGCCAAGTTCCATGGCCGGGACCATCCCACCAGAGGCTAAAATCTGTTGCTCCAGCTGCGTAGATTTGATCATGAACACCAAAATTGAATCAAATATGGCATATCATTCAATAAAAATATATGGATGGTTCTTGGTGATATAGTCCTCACCTTAAACAGTGTCTCCAATCTGTTCTTGACAAGATAGTACTCTTGCTTGACTTGTTGCAAACATCTATGACATCTGAAAAATTCATCGATTTGTTTCCTCCTAATTAGATAATTATAATCGGATATATAAAGAAGAATAAATGGACCAACCAACACAACAAACTAAAAACTCACGCTTCAACATTTTGTTGCTCGCAGAAGCTGCGGAAGACAACGCAAGCATTCTTAACTCTTTGTGCTCCTATACTGTTTGTTGGCAACATCACACACTCGAAAGCTTAATCATTCACACATTTCGTAGATGAACCTTATAACATCACTATGGAATCAGATCTGAATTAGAAGTACACAATTTTATTACCTTGAGCTGCTACCTTTGAGTTGATGAACATGAGGATCAACCTTTTTGAAGTCCACAACCTGTTGATCTCTGCAAAAGCATAAGAACATTTTAAAGAACATGTTTATGATAGAAAGAGCAGAAGAAGTTTAAAAAGAGAATGTATAATGAAGATTACAGGGAAAGTGAGAGATCATTGAGAATCCTGTCAGTGTCTTGGAAGAAAAGAGAGACAACTTGTGAAACAAAATCTGGATTGCTTTCATCTTGTAGTTGTTGCAGCTGCAAGAACTGGCTGTCCAAAATCCCCTTTTTTACCAAAACAAAGAATATTTCTATAATCAGAAACCAATTTTACATAATCAAACCTATGATTAGCTTACAAATAAAAATACAGATAAAACCTAAGAAAAAATTGTGAATATTTTATTTTTTCCATTTTTCTAATGTAAAAAACTTACTTCCAAGAAGAGTGATTTGGTGTAATCTTGCAAGCTCTTCTGCATCTGAACCAACTCCATCTCTTCTCTGCTCTTTTTTTTTTGTTTGTTCTTTACTCCTCTGTTTCTCTCTACCAATAATGGAGGAAGAAACAGTCTACCAAATCCTCAGTACTTAAAAGATATGAACAAAATCCTCCGTATCAAAAACCCATTTTTAAAAAATTAAAACTTTATTTTATTATGACAGTTTTAATTTGGATGTGAGTGAAGAATCCAGAAAGAAATCAACTTTAAAAAATGGAAGTTGGTCGTGCTGTCAACTGTCTAACCATTCGCGCCACTTTTTACCCTTATTTTGCGCTTTCTCCTCGTTTTCTCTTTTGCAGATGTGAAAAGGACATAAGAGCATTGATACTTTCTCTCTTTGTCCTTTTTTTTCTTCTCAATATTTTTTTTGTAACGTCTCGAATTTAAAAATTACTGTTCATCTAGTGAAAGCATATATTATATGCACTGCCTCCATTCAATGCATCTTTCTTTCCAATAGCATCTCTCTGGGGAAAAAAAATTATAGTATTTTCAAATTGATTGATCCTTGCTGATTTTGTCCGACTAGTATTTGTTTTATTATAAAACTCATTTCTTTACTCTCACAAAATCGTAACGTATTGAATTTATCAAGTGTGTTATGACTTTGAAATACCACGGGCCTAACATTTCGTATAACACATATCTAAACTCAATTAATGATCATACTGGCTCGGCATTGGGCCAAAATTTGACTTAGAGATTGGAAAAGAAATCACAACTAACAGACATCAACTACTTGACACTGTTCAAGTGCTTTTCTAGTTGATTTCTTAAAGTTTTTTCTCTTCAAAACGATTTTTGTTTTCTCTTAAATTTCTTCTAACTCTAAAATTGTCCAACTCTTTTACACCTCTCCGATATTTCCTTATATGTAGAGACAAGCGAAGTTACAATAAAAAGTAGCAAGTTTTATTAGTGGAAACAATAAATTCTCATATGCTGTCAAATATGGACGCAAACTGACCTTTAAAACCAACACAAACTCTTTTTGTTTTCAAATTTCATGTATTTCTATTAAAATCAGCTAACAATAAATCCAATGACTCAGGTTCTTTATATACTAACATTAAAATACAATATAGTTTTGAGTATTTTTAAATATATTTGTGTCTATTTCGTGATCACCAATCTCATCATTTCAACCGGCACTTCTTCATTTGTCATGTGTGATTTTCCGTCATTCCAAATACTTTCACAGTCATCTTCATATACACCCATTCTTATCTATTTTCGCATGCATAGTAAATGTCACATTCTTCCTTATTGTTTGTAACTTTGTATTTTCAATGACACTTCCAACACGACAAGCCAAAATAAAAAATAGTATAGTAGTATCACTGTATCTCTCTGAACATTTGGGTAAAGATCTCCGTTTTGACACGCCTCACATGACGAATGGGACATGCAAGAACGTACGATAAATGTAACCAATGGAATCAAATTTATTACATTAAGTAATCGAAATTATTAGTGGATCTTACTTGACAATGGGTCCATCGCCTTAGAGGCTGCTCCATCACTAATGGACCTTTCAAATCTTATTATGATGCTATGTTAATCTTACATTATCTCCGTATAAAAGTTAAACTGTGCTTCCTAGTTAGTTGTTAGCAAATACGTAAAAAAGTCAAGAAAGTATGCACTCACCCATATCTGCAAGCAATTTATTATCAGAAAATCATTAGCCAATAGCCAATTTAAATTTAAATATGTATAAAGCTAAAATTAAGTCACTGTAGAAGCAGCCAATTGTGAATTTTATTTACCCGAAATAAATAAAAGTGAACATGCATGACAAGGTAGTTAGGTAGTTCATTTTTTTGGTTCATTAACATTTTCAGGTTAAGTTCAATTTTAACAAGTAAAATAAATGAGATGTCCAATCTATCTTGTGTCTGTTCTGAGTGGTTAGATGTTAAAATGTTGTATTTGTTTTTTCTAAAAAAATTATTGTGAAAACAATCCATTTTGAAATCTCAATGCAAACACAAAATCACAACATTATGTATTTCAAAATTTCAAAATATATCTTGTTTATATAAAGAACAAAAAAAACATCTCCGTGCACTAGTTTTCTGTAAAAATAAACACATTGGTTTAACATGTATACACAAATGTTAATCAACCTAAATGGAAAAAAAAAAGAAGCTTATATTCTCTATCCATTTGCATTTCACAT